AACAAATCTGTGCAGACATTGAAATTGAAAAAGACTCACATAATGATCCTACACAGAAAACTGATATTAAAGATGACATAAAAGAAACAGCACCTTTAAAGAAGGATTCAGTCACAAAAGATGATAAGCCAGTAACAGTTAAAACGCCAAGAAGGGTTTCACTGATTACCTTGTCCAGCCCTAAATCTCCAAATAAAAAACGAAAGAATGAGACTTGTCATAATTTTTAATAAAATATCAAATTTATTATAAACCAGCTTTTATTTAAAATTGTATTTCAAATATATAACTATGATGAACCTGTCTTAGAGTCAGCCTTTTCGAAATATTTCTTCTTTTCAATAGGATTTGGAATTATCTGCAAAAAAAAAAAAGTAAAACATTATATATATTCTTATCACATTACACATTGTTTACTTTTTTTTTTCTATGTTTCTCTATGAACTCTAGTAAAGAAAATAGATAAACAAAATATTAAAAATATTTTTCTGAAATCATAATTTGTTTTTATAATGAAATTTAGTAAAAAAAATTGTGAAGACTACTATTTATATTTTGTAATAAGCTTGTAAATGGAGAAAAATTAATTATTATTTGTAATAGCATATTTTGTTGCTAACCATATTTGCATTATTTTGTAGAAACAACAGATAAATTATGTTTACCGTATCTTGGCCTGGTTTCCAGTTTACAGGACAAACTTCACCATGCAGATCAGTAAACTGGAATGCCTGTACAAGCCTTAAGGTTTCATCAACTGAACGCCCAACAGGTAAATCATTCATAGTAATTTGTCTTAAAATTCCCCTTTGGTCAATTATAAAAAGTCCTCTAAATGAAAAAATACATGTTTATATGGGGTTATAAATATTACAAATTAAGTAAAATTACCGAAGAGTGTGGCCTAAATCTTCCAAATATACGCCATAATCTTTTGAAATTGTGTGAGTAAGATCTGATAATAATGGAATTCTTATTTTTCCAAGACCACCTTCTTTTCGTGGTGAGTTCATCCATGCCAAATGTGTAAAATGAGAGTCAACTGAACATGCTACAACTTCTGTATTTATTTCACGGAATTCATCAATTCGGTCAGAAAATGCAAGAATTTCAGTGGGGCATACAAATGTGCTAAAAAAAAGATGTAAGGTCATGTTTTAAATGCCCATGGTATGGCTTATAACATAACAGTAGACAAAGTGTGCCAATACTCACAAATCCATTGGATAGAAGAAAAATACTAAATATTTTCCTTCAAAATCTTTTAGTGATAGTTCTATGAATTCACCATTCACTACCGCGGTTCCTTGCCATTGTGGCGCTGGCCTAGAAACTATTATACATAGTTTTAAATGTTAATATGAGCTCAGCAAAAGAATTGAGTTAGGTATTTTAATATTATAAAACAGAAACATGATAGATACATGGAGTAAACAAATAGGAGGGTCAAATATTAAAATAAGTGAAAACTTAAATAGAAAAAGATCTTTTAAAAAATTAGTTAATTTTTCCTAAATACATTCTACTTATAAATCTATGAATTAAATTTTGTTGGATTCTTATTGAGCATATGATGAAATCATGTAATTAATACTTTGTTCTACAATTATATTATCTTAAATTTCTTTTGAATATATTGTACATTTACTAAGTACAAATCTTAAAAGATATACAGCGCAATATATCTTGCAACTGTTTTAAAATTTTTCAAAAATAAAATGTCATTATTTTTCAATTAATATCGCTGCTACAACTGCCAATAAAAGCTACGATGTGTTTATGAAAATAATATTACTGGCAATATAATATTTTAAAATTTAGTACAGTTTACATATAATATGTTTACAAGTTTTTACAAACTACTTACTAACAGCTTTCGTCCACTGTAGTTTGTGATCAGATTTATCTGTTCCTTGAGGATAAACAGTTCCTCCTGCGTAGGACTGACATGAGCCTTCGTCATTTGACATACTATTAGCGCAAAAGACATAAAAAACTAAATACAGTCCACAAATGACATTTCGATTTTGAAGCAATTGTTTCATTTTTGATAAACTATTTGATCGATTCAGGGACTTTCAAAAACATACGTGCAACGTGTAAACCTCGGCTATCTAATTGTTTATCTATAACCTATAACCGATATCCAACAATCCATCCCACGTCAAACAATAACCGAATCAACGAATCAACATAAAAATGGATGAATTGAGGTAACCCTAATCAGAGACTGCAAGGCTTCTTCATCTTCTGTCTTAAGAGTTAGCGATAACGCATACTAGTGACTTTTATTGTAGAACGTATCAATAATTTGAATGTTCAATAGATTTTTTTTTTTTTTGGCGTATGGGGTTGCTTTAAAGTAAAATATTAATTAATATTTTAAAATATATTGATTTAAATACACTGAGAGAATATTTAAAAAAAAGTGTTGATTATACAATTCTTTTTTCAATATTAAATTTATCATAAACTTTTTGATATTTGTTCCACAAATAACGTTAACAAAATAATCAAAAAGTTATCCCATTCATGTATATTGCTAATTGCCTACAATTGACTTAGTATATGGATACGTTACATTAAAAAAAATAAAATGCAATATAAAAACAAACAATCTCTGCTCATTGTGTGTACTACATTAACAGATCGCAGAATTCATACAAAAATAATAGAAATATAACAAATGCGTCTAATACAATTGTAACACGAAGAAAACAATATCATTTCAAATTTTTCATGGATCACAAACTTTATTTCATGAAACGTCTGTACATTTGAGACCAAGGTCTGTAAACAATTAGTATATTGTCTAGGGTCTGTAAATTTATTAAAAATATAATTATTACTACACAATAAAATATTAATTATAATTTATTAATATTAATAGTAATTACTGTTTAAATACAGATCAACTTTCTCTAACAAGGCTAGACACTATACTAAAACATAAAAACATATAGCATGTATAAGAAACGAATTCATATAGATAAAGGGATAATGATGGATATTTTTATATAATTTAAACATTCACGATTATTATTCAATCCCTTCATTTTTAATTAACCATCATTTTTTTCTTCTCACATTTATTGATTTTATCAGTATTCAAAGTGCTCATATCTTCATTTTGTTTCCATTCTAACAATATCTATAATAATATAGATTTATAAATTGTATAAAAATATTAAGGCAATATGATAATATAATATATTCATTATTTTGGGTGTATTAAAATTAGAAAAAAATGTACAAGTTACATGCTAAATAAACAGAATCCATAATTTTTCATAGATTACTGATATGATTATCTAAAATTCAATGCAACATATTTAATCAAAACTGATAATCTTTAGGCATAATCGCATAATCAAAATATAATAATGCACAATTATTTTATATAATTATATTATCCCTTTATTATAAGTTTGTATGAAATGTTTATCGACATATGACATAAGTATTTCATGTCATATAAGACAAATGCAAATACTTTTTAATTTACGATTTTATATAGATTTTAATATTAAGCATATGTGTGGGTAGCATGCCTTCCTCGGCAACCCGATCAACCACGACCCACTTCTTGACAAAAGTCACTATTGCTGTTTTAACCTAATATTCAAGCAGCTATCTCCCATCAAATGAGTAAACTTTCAGTTTTTGTCAATAGCATATTTCGATGTATATAAAAATTAAAATAGAGGAGAATATGTCTCACAACATTTTCTCTAAAGAAATATGCACCATACACACAATAAAATGGACAAATACCTAAAAACGAATCATGTGCTTGCATGTGTGATTAAATATCTAATGTAAATATAAAAGTCTACCAGATTTAACATTCACGCTCCAAGATGAGTGGTGTTATCGAAGATAATTTCATTGGCAAACTGCTTGTTGAAATGAAATCAAATTTCAATAAATCAACAGCAAATTGCACGGAAGATGTTTCTGGTAAAATTGTCAAGGATAAAATTGTAAAAGTCGTTCCTAAACCACAAAAAGTAGACGAAAAGGAAGAGAAAGGTGATACTGTTAAGAAGATTAGTGATTTAAAAGTTCAAGATAAAATGAAAGTTCAGAAAAGAACAAAAAGCTGTGAAGTTGAAAGTGTCAAACGTTTAAAAGTGACTTCACAAATTGTGCAATCTTTTAAAATGCAAGATGTTCAAGCAGCAGATAATGATATTAATAGCACGACGACTTCTGGAATTGATTGTGAGAGTGAATCTTCAAATATATTATCAAAGGAGTTGAAAAATAAAGAGGACAAAGATAAATTTTGTGATACAAATGCTGGCTTAGTTGAAAAAACGAATAAAATGGAAGATACCAGGGATGTTAAGGAGTCTGTTTCACCAGGACGACGTTCTTTGAGGCTCAAGACTTCTGCACCAGAAGTGATAAAAGGTTTGCATGATAATTACAATGAATAATTTTGTTTTCTAAATATTAAAATTGTCTGGTTATATGTAATAGTTATAATACATATTAGCGAAGAATTATGAATTACAAAATCAATACTTTATAGAACTTTAATAGGATTCAAATAAATTACAATTTGTCAGATCATTACATTACTGATTCTATTCATTTATTTCTGTTTTTTACATTTTAATTTGCAATGATTTTTTATATAATCTAATTACTGAAATTATTTCTGTTGGTGTCCTTTTTATGTATAGATTCAATATACAAATATCACTATATATTATATTATATTTTATACATATACATATATATATATATATATATATATATATATATATATCCTAAAACAATTTAATGGTAATTATCTTATTGCCTTAATATATTTTCCTGTACCTCAATAATTAAATGTGCAGGCAACATTCAATGTGAATCCAGGTCCTAGAATTGAATTCCAGCTAATCATAAATTATTTTAACTTTGAATATTCCAATTTATATTTTAATTGAATTAAAAATCCATAATTAAAGCTATATGTGTTGTTTTCAGTAATGTTTTGGGATCCATCTAAGTCTACAATTTTGTGTTTACCTTTTTCTTTGCATTAGAATGTGTTTTTTCTTGTCCTATTATTAAGCTTCAGGATAAAAGTTTATTAAGTTATCACAATAATATATTCACAAAGTTGTGAATAATTTTTTTTTTTAGATGTTGATGCATCAAATATTAAAAGATCTCCAAGGCGCAGATCAAAAGAATACAGTGATAGTGTTTTAGCAAATGCTATAGCAAGAAAAGAAAAATCATACGAATCTTCAAATCCACAACCCCGGCTCTCAAGAAGAATTAAACCTACAGCTAAAATATTAGCTAATAAAGAATTACGTTTGGGAATTGAGATGCAAAATGATGCTAGATCATTAAATAATGATATTTGCAAATTAAAATTCAAAGAAAATGAACGAATTAGTAAGGCAAAATCTGATTCTGGAATTGAGTCTGTAATAAGTTCAGGTTCTGAAGATAATGAAATTCTCAATAACAAAAATAATCTAAAACAAATGCAGGAGAAACATTTGAGCATATTAGGCTTAAGGGCTGTAGATAAAAGTGAAGATGATTTTGCAAAATATGAAAACACTCAAATTTTGATGGATACTGGAAATAGCAGTATAAGTCCAACTGATAGAAACCTAAGGTAATGTTATTAAAAAACTTAAATTTTTATGCTAACTATATGAATTATTGCCCTATTTGTTATTTTTATGTTCAACTAAATATTTAATTCCATTTTGAAATTAAGAAGAAATAAAATCTTTAATTTATTAAATATTTTATGATAGTTTCTGTCAATAATCTTGTAAAATCAAAAACAAATGCTAGTGTATTAATTACATTATTATATCATATTCTATTATTTCATAATTTAATTTTATAATTATTTCAAACTATATAAATATCAATCAGTTAAGTATTTTTCTCAAATTATAAACTAAATAAAATTAGTATTTTATATTTATATAAGATTTTAATTTTTTATTTTATTCTTTTTCTATTAACATTTATAAAACTATGCTGATTTTTTGTTGACATGTTTTGTTTTTTGACTTGATTTCCAATTTTTCAATAGTTCAATCACATACTTGAAATATTGAACTGATGGCCAGTTGGTTTTTGAAGCGTGATCTATAGTTTACCTGATTTTCTTTTTGGGAATCAATTATTATATTCAAAGTATAATATTCATAATTCATTAGTTACTACTTAAATCTCTACCCAAATCTTTCAATTCCATCTGCAATCACACTTTACTTCTTCATGACTTTCTTCTATACTTTATTTTGTTTATAAAAAAAATATATATACAATATTTTTACATTAAATCATTGTATCTACTATATTTCTTATGTTCCATCATTTTATTGCATTATATTTGTACATATATCTTTTTTATATTTTCCATCACTAATCTTAGTTCATTGGTTATTTTCATTTTTAATTTTGGGTTGTTTGGTACTTACTGCATTTTGCAGCTTGTCAATATTGTTATCGGGCATATATTTACATTTTATTTACTATACTTTTTAACGCCAACGCTGTGCTTTTAATCTATAATGATTTGGTTGTCCTGCTTTCTTTACGTAAATGCTCCTCTTTTAAATTAAATCTATAATCTTTCGGGCCTTTTTGTTGTATAAAATAATTTTTTCTGAATGAATTTTTTAGGCGGAGTCAACGAGATCGCACGAAAAAATCTGATAATAAATTGGATGATAATTCAGTACTGATGAAAGAAAGTAACTATAAGAAGTATTTTAGGAAATCTATTATTCCACATAGTAGTTCATTTGCTGAAGGCGATTGTGTTAATGATACAGATAGTAACTTATTTACCTCATCAAACTTAGAAGTCGAGAGCACTAACGAAATGCTGGACAATAAGAAGATAGAAACAGATTTGAACAAGTTTGATAAAAATGAACCAATGGATTTAGATTGTACAATCAATATAAGCAACAAATCATATAAAGAGAGTAGAAATGATATACATGATGGTACAGATATGCTGTGTTTATGCCAAAAGAGGAATAATATTTTTATAAATTTGGAAAATAGATTAGGTAGATTTTTATTTAATTTAATTATAATTTACTGAAGTATTAAAGTAATTAATATATTAAAAAGCATCAAATTGAGTAATGAGTAATTGAAGGATATATATATTTTGTCTTCTTGCTCTCGCAGATCTTCTATATTTGATCAAATCGATCTTCAAATGTTTATTTTCCAATAAATATTTTTAATGCAATTTATTATTGCTATTTGAAGGAAATATTTACTGCGGTGCAGTAGACTCCATAGACAATCGATTTATTGGTTGTTCCAACAGTCTGTTAGACAATGGCGTTCCAGTTGAAAGTAATAGTGATGTGATGTTACTGAGGGCTAATAAACACTTACCTTACATTATTATGTGTTCTAATCATGTCAGCAGATTTACAAGACATTTATCTTGTTCTGGCTGTGGTGCATTTTGCACACAAGTAAGATATTGTGCATTAACTTGAATCTAATTAACGCAAAACCAAATATACATCTTATTTCTTCAAATATTTTAGGGAAGTTTTGTTATATGCAACAACAAACATCTTTATCACAGGCAATGCAGTATTATGAAGAATAACAATTCCATATGTCCCCATTGTGGAATTTTATCACCAAATTTTAATATTCAACTTCAAATAAAGAAAGGACATAATATGGTGTTCACACCAAACCAAGATGATTCAACGTAAATTGAAAATAGTTTATTATGTTCTGTATTTATTACAAGTATAAAAAGTCTTATTCTTAATTACAGTATTTCTGCTAGAATGAGTTTTTCAAGTGAATGTAACATGAGTAATTCTGCAAAATTCAGCAATGATTTCAAGTCAAGACCACGTACGCCGCCAATTTTTGAGTCCAGATGTTGTATCTATGTTGGCTAATATGAAATATTTAGAAAATAATCATGATATAGGCAATGCTGATGAACTTTCGAAAGCCATCAAAAGGAATAACTGTGAGAAAGTAATACAGATTTTAGGTAAGGTTTTAGCATATTAGTGTTATTGTAAATAAGAGTTACTTCATTGTTTATTATTTTTTATACATTAAAAAATATTAACATATAATTTAAACATTTTCTTTTAGTATATGTTTATTATAGTGGTCTTGATGTATTTGCCGATAACTCTTATATTCAAATTTTTTTTTATATGATGTGAGTGGCACGCCAGCAATCATCTGCATTGTAATGTATAAAAAAGTCTTGCTTTATTAAAACTAGATTCAATCAGTTTAATCACTTCTTTAAAAAGTTGGTTTTATATTATTTAATTTGCACTAACATTACATAATCAAATTAAACTTAATGTTCTTATTTTATTACTATTATTATTTATTTATTATTATTATATATTAATACATAATATATCTGTATCATAATATAATTAAACATCATAAAAATTAAATTTTTCATTTTCATTAATATAGCTGGAAATTTGGACATTAATAGTATAATGAACGAATCTACCCAATCCACTGCATTACATCAAGCTTGTGAATTAGGACATATTGGGATTATACATATATTAGTTGTATTAGGTGCTGAGATAAACGTTTTTGACAAATTCCAGAAGACTCCATTAATTTGTGCAATTTTAAGTGATCAGCTTGAGGCAGTGCAATACCTGATAAAAGCTGGGTGTGATTTATCATTAAAAGTAAGATATTTTAATATATCTTATTCATAAAAATGATTCAATTTCTATATTATATCAGTTGCTATTAGATTATATAAATACATATTTTGCATTTGGTACAAATAGCATTTATTTGAGAAAAGTATTACTTGATCTGACTAGGGTCCGGATGGTATGACCGCATTACACCTGGCTGCTAAAGATGGTAACTTGGAGGCCTGTAGATTATTGGTGACATCCCCTAGAATGTCATTGAAACAGATAGATTTACTTGATGAGGGTGGCTGGACCCCCTTGGTTTGGGCTGCTGAACATGGTCATGCTTTGGTGATAAGGTACATAATACTGATATAAAAACATTGTTTTATATTTTTCTGTACTACATACAAGTGCTATCTTTTCTTAATTACTCTTTTGCTGACCACAACTACTTTTCATTTTGTATTATTTTTGTATAATAACTATTTCATAATACATTTAAGATACCTTTTGGAGTGCAATGCTGATCCATTTATCTGTGATTCTCAACAAAACATAGTATTGCATTGGGCAGCTTTGAATGGAAATCATAAAATAACTGAAATGTTGCTAGATCGAGGATGTGATATCGACAGCACTAATGTGAATGGGGAAACACCATTGTAAATATATATTTCAAAATATTTACATTGAAATGGTAAATAATGGATAATAAAAATTCAAGTTCCTTTACAGACATATTGCCGCCAGGTATAATAATTATCAATGCGCTTTAATATTGATAACTAGAGGGGCAAACGTAATGAGTAGAAATTGTGCCGGTGAAACCCCACTTGAAAGTTGCGAAATTATTGACGGAGAATGCTATAATCTTATCAAAATTAATGCTCAATTACAAAAATATGTGCCCAACAATAGAAGAAATATGGTTATTGCAAAGTAAATGCATTATTATATTTATAAAATATTTCTATTGATATTATTTGCTAAATTTGGTGTGAATAACAACTATTCAATTTTAAATTTAAATTTGCTGTGGAATGCAAAATTCATAATAATAATATTTATTACAGTGATATATCGCGGGGAAAAGAACTAAACCCTATACAATGCATCAATACTGTTGATTCAGAATGCGAACCGAGAGACTACACATATACCACTAACCTGTACATAACTTCGAATGAAATTCGAACTACAATTCATCACGATAAAGTTATTGGCTGTGAATGTTCTGATAGATGCTCTGGAAGTAGTGAGAATAATTCTTGTTGTTGTTTATCTTTGAATACTAGGTGTCTATATGATGAAGATGGCAGACTTTTGCCTGATTTTGATTTTGAAGATCCGCCTATGATTTTTGAGTGCAATGACAAATGTTCTTGCAATAAGGTATGCATATGATTTTCAAAAATCTGTAATACATGTTTCATTTTTTCAATATGCAATATTTTATTTCAAGTATATCTATTATATAAAAATAAGTCGGGTTTTCCTTCCTGACGATATAACTCCAGAACGCACAAACCGATTTCGACGATTTTGCATTCGTTGGAAAGGTCTCGGACTCCGTGAGGTTTATAGCAAAAAAAAATTGAAGAAAGATTTCAACAGAAAAACACTTTTTTCACATACAGCGTCATCTCTGATACTTAGCATATACTACAAACTAATATCTTTTGTTTGATTGCTACTCATTTGTTTGGCAGCTACTCATTGTTCTCTGCTCAGTTAATTTCATGTGACAAACCGGCATTGTGTTCACTTTGAAATTGTGCAAAAAAAGTAAAAAAAAGTTATTCGTTCTCTAACATTTCAATTGGAATTCAAATCAATCACATGTATTGTGCAAATTTTTATTTAATTTCAACAGCAGGCAATTTTTTTCTTCATCTTTTAATCACCAAACGAAATGTTATATAAAATGAAACCATCTGGTGGTGAAACGGAGTTTGCCCGGTTTGCTAGTGTATATATATATATATATATATATAATCTTGATTTTCAATGTTGAATCATATTTAATATATAAAGTAGTCAATTTATTTTATAGCAGCTAAATGATGATCAAATAAAGTGTCTAAGTGAATAATGAATTATTTATATTTTTTATTTTATTTGAGTTTAATTTTAATTGACTTTATTTAAATATGAAATTTTAATATTTTAGATTACCTGTGTGAACAGGGTTGTACAAAGAGGTGTTTCACAGCGACTAGAATTGTTTCGAACAGAAAGTTGTGGATGGGGTGTTAGAACTCTAAAGGATATTCCCAAGGGAGCATTTGTTGCTGAATACACTGGAGAAATTTTGACTGATTTTGATGCAAAGAGAAGAGAGGATGACAGTTATTTGTTTCACTTATATCATTCAGTAAGTATTGAGTTATGAAATTAAAAATTCAACATATATGGAATTTGGAAAAATTAGCATAAATATAGGTATGTGGATTATTATTCAGTATAAAGAAAATTTATAGAATATTTAACATATATTTATAGTTTAATATCACTTTCTTTAAATATGAATGACATAAAACCTATGATTTAGGATACTTTTGTTGCAAATGGATAAATTCATTAATTTCATGGCATATGAAGCAGATACATATTTGTATAATATTTGTTTATATTATATATTTTTCTTCTAAGATTGATAGATTAGCGATTGATTAAAATACTATGTAAATAATTTATAAATTTTTGATTTTACAATAGAAAATTGAAATATAGGAAATTTACTTATCATTTGGTAAATCCAAATTTAAAACCATTGATTTATGTATTATATATACAATTTACAGATTATTATATTCGTATTTTAATGAGCATATGTTTCATATTGTAATTAATGTTACTACTACTTCTTTGTATACTTTAATTTTCATCTTTAATGGACAGGAATCTGAATCATACTGCTTAGATGGTAGGCATTATGGCAATGTTTCACGCTTTCTGAATCATTCTTGTGAACCCAATGTTTGTCCAATACGTGTTTTCACTGATCACCAGGATATAAGATTTCCACGAATAGCTTTCTTTGTTAATAGAGATGTAAATGCTGGAGAAGAAATACGGTAAGTGTCAAGATCAAATTCACAAGCACTTTTTTTATTATAATACCATAATTTTTTATTTATTGAAAATATCTCAACTCTAATATTCTTTATTTCCGAAATAAATTATAATACTTATAAAAATCAAGATCATTTTGCATATATTTTAAAACATTATTTTCACTTTTTAATTTTTTTTTACATTTTAAAACAGTTTCGATTATGGCGATAAATTCTGGGAGGTGAAACATAATGATTTTATGTGTATGTGCGGCTCAGAACGATGCCGATACTCGGACAACATGGTGTTAGCAAAGGATAGTAACAAATTGAACAGCTAGATTTGGAATTCAGTCTTAATTTGATGAATACATAGTTATATGAAAATATAGAAAGTTTTCCATTTTCAAAAGTTTTCAATGGCGCAAGAATGTTTTTGCGCTTTATTGTGCCCTCTGGCGCATATCTCTAATCCAGGGAACGGTTATTTAGGAAACCAGGTATTCTAATTAGCTCAAATTTAGCTTGCAATACTAACTATAAGTCTGATTTAGTTAATGATTAATATTTATTTATATTATATAATTTTTTAAATAATTTATGTCTATTATTTATGGAGAAAAGTAATATATATATATATATATATATATATATATATATATATATATATATATGGATTAGGTTTGCAATGAATAGTATGTTTAGTAGTATGTGAAATTTCGGCGAACGGCAAAGCTATTTTTCTGTGTTTTAGCAAAATTTGTACTCGTGTTTGTTTCGCGGTAGTTCTAATTAATATTGTAACCTAAAGTTGTCATTTTTTTTAACAAAAAAGTTTTTTTTTAAATTTCACTGCCTATTTTATAGATTGAGAATCCAATATTAAATATATAGTATATTGAGCATTAAGCATTTTGAAGGGGCAACATGCAACAAGTTCTATATTTTTTCTAAAGCTTTTTCTTCTGAATTTTGAATAGGAAATGAAAGCTAAATGCATAAAAATATACAGAATATGATTACGTGCCAATGCCTGATTGAATGATTATATGGAAATGAAAAGATAAATATATGCAATGAATCTTTTTTTTTTCATCTTCTCATAACAAATTATTACATAGCGAATATTTATTGCAATCCTAAATTATATATATATATATATATATATATATATATATATAATAAAGAGAACTGATAACAAAATTATTATCTAAGGTTGTAATACTTAACTTTGATAAAACAGAGTTTGATTATATTATCTAGATACCATCACTTATTTTTGCGTTTATGATGTGATATTTTTAATAAATCGTTTTTAGTATTAGTATGCATCAGGACACACTATTGAATGTTTCTGATAATGGTGGGATCCCGCGGCCTTCTATCCACCTTAACCATAACAAACATATCCTTTTTTTTTCTAAACATCCAAAACATTCATAAAGATGGGAAACAGGTTCTTAGACCGATAGTATGCGGAGTCAGTAATAATCATACCACAAACCACGGTCAATGATTCTTAAACTGACGAAATAAAACTACCACTGGGCGTTATCTCCCAAAAGTCCACGCTCGCGTGTCGGAGCTGGGGGTTCCTATGAATTCGGGAGGTCTACCTGTGATGTCTCTGTCGTCCCCTTTATGTTATATGTAGTCCTTCTGCCTTGTAAGACTTTTGACATGTTACTAATTTTCCGGTGACCATATGTCAAAAGCAGCAGATACCCCCGCACTTAAGAACTCCTTGTTCTTTGAGAACTCCTTGTTCTTTAAATTGCAGCTATCAGCGTGCTGTTGCCTAGACGAATGGAAATCATGCGCTAAATTTGCACCTGGCCAATATCAGATCAGGAACTGCCCAACTGTGATTATAGCTAAGGCAATCTTCCCTACGTTCCTTGAAAATTGATGCGCCGATTTCTAAAAGTTAAATTTAATAAAAGTTAATAATGATTCGTGTTGTTGAGTTTACCTTGATGACGATTAGAATTGTTTATGAGAAATAAGCGTCAAATAAAATTAAAATCGTTGCCGTTTCTGCAAACATTTCAAAACCTATCTAAATATGTTTTGAACATTCAAAAACTGATCTAAAGACATTGATTATTAATCAGTCTTTGTTAAGGCCGATCAAGCTGTTTTCAATTATTGACTTTACCCTGTGAATTGTTTTAAACTACAATAAATAATACATCATTCATAGGTTTTATTTCGGCCTGTTTTCGAAAATTTGCACTGCAATTTGCCTAATGACACTTTCTTACTAAATATTTTAAAGACATTTTGTTATTAATACATATTGAATCATAACCTTATCGTCATGCAAATAAATGTAATATAATTTATATGATATATAATCAAACTTTGTTTGGAAGTTATGTTACGAAGTATTATGTTATATAAAGCCGGCACAAGCAATTGTATGCTCTATTTGGTGCAATTTAATATTTATTTAGTTTATATTAGAATTTTGTTATTTATAGAAAATAAACATCATTTAGCTACTTTTTCATAAGCAACTTATATCACAGCCGAAATGATATGAGCAATATTTTTCAATTAACTTGAGTTGGGCCTAGATGCTGAAATTCTGTAGATATATTTGCAAATATATTGCTATAAGATCCTTAGCTAAATTTGTCAACCATTTGGAGTTTTTTTCATTGTTTGGTATATTAGTGGTCGAAATCGATACCATACTTCATTAGTCTGTTTCATTGGACATGTATTTTGTTATAAAATTATTGAAAATAGAATATTGCATAAGTTGCGCATTCATGTAATTTAAATGAATAAGACATATCTTTGAAATCACAAATACATGTGGGAAAAAATAATTTTTAAAAACACTGCCATTCTAGTTAAATGAAATATTATGTATCTGCCTGAGAGTGCTATATTAATAGTTATTTATTATTTATTGTGAATTTTATTTATGAATACGAAGCATTGTTAGATTTATTAACAATAACTGTACATTTCTAACATATTTGTAAATATAAGCGTAATAAAACAGATCGATAAATTAATTTTTTGATTTTTAATTTTAATAATAAATGTGATTTGTTATGCCTAAAACCATATTTACACTTTTCTTATAGATTCGTATAATCATAGTTCTAAAATATTATGTTTTCATAAAAAAATCTGATATGCTCGATATTTGAAGTCATTTTGACTCCGAAATTGGAAAAAAGTTTGTGATTTTATGAGTGTGTGTGTATGTGGCATTTTGTCTTCGAATGATTGGCTCAGTCGTTCCTTCATAATTAGCAGACATGAACAACTTCATTGTCTAAAATTCTGAACCGATTTTGAAAATTCAAAAAGTTTTCGAAAAATATTGGTTTAACATTGTACTGATTTGGGTAAAGATCCGTAGGGTAGTTTCTTCGCTATTGTTAAATAATTTGAATAATTAGAATTCATGAACATCGTAAAATATAATATAAGTAAATTGCAAATAGTAAATAAAAATATTAGTAAGTGTTTGAATAACAATGAATACAACAGTTTTCATTACATCACAAATTGGTTTATTATTAATTGTCTTACAAAAATATTTACAATAGTAAAATAAATAATTACGTTTTGTATTTTTGTTAAATTTTATATAAATTTCCTCTTTCACCATTCCCAATGAGTACTTTTTGTATTTCGATGAGAATTAATACAATTTCTATATTTAAAACACACAAGTTCTAACATTTAGTTAATGAAAACAGTAACATATGCAAATCCATAATGAACAAAAACATTATCAAATCTTGCCTTGAATTAATCTTAAATGAAACAGTATACATAAATATTCTATTCTAGTAATTCAAATCTAAAAATAATTAAAGTATGATTTAACTTAAGGTTTCGAATATTACCTATTACTGTTATAATTAATCAATATTACAAATGTGTGCTGTACCTGTGCGATTTTTTTTAGCTAATCTCATTTCTCGTTAGAATCTCATATTGGGTTAAAGATTTCTTAACGGTTTCATAAACAAAAAATCTAAAACCCAATAGAAAGTCGAATTGTGGGAAAAAATCATTAAATAAATGTGATTCAATTTTTTCCCTTTGATTAAATTAATAATTTTGTTAATCCTAAAGTTTATGATTATTATTTTTTTAATCTTTATCAAAGAAAACAAAAATGTAAAGAATGTTAACTTTTAGAAGTTTACTTCTTTTTGTTTTAAACTAAGGATATTGCACTATGCCATATCAGATGCACTGGGACATAAATAAAAAAGTTTTAAAACTGATAATGATAAATTTATAATTTAAATATAATTAAACTTTACGGAACTAGGTATTTTTCAAAAATTAATGTGAAAATTATTTTAATTTAGCACCTTTTCACTTTGACAAAAACTCCTTTAAAGGTTTTATCACTACAGTAAGAAAACTTCATTCGACACTTAACTAGTTTCTGTTTTAAAAATAGTTAAATTAACTTAAATATTCTCCTAATACATATCGTATAAAGATAATGCCAGTACTATTGGCGGATACGCATACACGTAAGTCTTATGTTTTTCTTTAAGTTAGCTACACTTTACTTACTATTAAACTTAAAATAGAAACGGTTACATTAAATGATCTAATACTATGCTGTAAAAAGATGTTTTGTCTCTATTTATAAAGAATGTATAAGTTTATATATAAAAATATTTAGCGTAGTGTGATTGTTATTTTTATAAATGCTTCATCGAAATACTATTGCTGGTGGAATACACAATTGTTAATTTCAAGCAACAATTTTGTGCGGGTTCATCCATTTTCTCATGTAATAGCAAAAGATTGTTGAGATGTAGATCAGAATTAATAAGGCACATGTGACTCCCAATGCTAAGACTGAAGTTTTCGTTGGGCAGGGCTCGACAATTGTCACTGTTTTGTCTGTAAATGAAAAAAATAAATGATATTAGTCATTAGTCACTTGTTACTGTAGGGTTACCACGTAAAATCATTGTTGATGTCAACTTAAATAATTATATTTCCTGAATGTAAAAGCCAACAATTAAAAATATTGAAAAAACAACGTATTATGGCTAACATAAAAACTTTTAATAATAATTAATGCAAAAGATATGTAACTGCGGCCTCATTTCCTGGTTGATACCGAATTCACAAATTTACAAAGAAAAATAAGTCATAAAAATTTTTGTCAAATAATTTGAATTCCATCTCAAATAAATGGTTTTATGTCGAAAAACTTAGCTTATTTTATGCGTCTATTATTTACCAGAATAACTAATCATATTCATAAGACTCTTAAGAGTTAATATAAATTTATATACCTTGAAGTGTGTTGGGTACTATTATATCTAACAGTAATATCAGGTTTTAATGGATTCTGATGATTTTTATAATAGTTAATTACGTTTTTATTAATAGTTATTGTGTCTCGTTTTTTAATATCATCAGTCCTTAAACCATTCCACTCGGATGCTCCCGCTCCGGCGGAAAAATACATATTAATTTCGCAATTCGTGAGTGGAAAGGCTTAAAGGGTTAAAGGGTTGCGAATAAATAATAGTTTAGTAATACATTGCAAAAATCATATATGTAGTAAATAGCATTAAATGTATATAGTAAGTATATTAAATAAGAAAAACTAATAACAAGTGTATGTCATGTTAGTTTATAATTTTGAATTTAAAAATTACCTCGTCCGAAGTCCGCACTTGAAGGATCGCTTCTCAAATAGTCGCTGGCTTTCTCATCGCCGAAATCTAAAACTAAGATTTCTTGTGAAATGTTCATTTCTTCTTCGTTTTGCGTTTCATTGGAGTTCAGAGAACGACGCCTTCTACCCCAGGACTCAACAGAATCACGTCCCCACTCACAAACGGCCTGAAACCAAGAAAACATTTAAAAAATTGTAAGTTGTGTCTATTAAGCATCGATATCGGCAGATATCGATATTATATGAGATGTTATTTCTAGCATGATGATTTTAAAACTTACCGGTTCACATGGTCCCAGGCAGTATTTGACGTTACATTGGAAGATGACACCATATGATTCCGTGAACCTGAAAGCTTCGTAAACCGATTGCAAAGCATTACCATCTGGGCTGAATGCGGGGAATATTGTTGGGTCAACAGGACAACTGTAGAATAAAAGGTAAGATTAAAATAAATAGATATAATTTAATTTTAATAACTTATTTGTTGAGCTATATTTGACATTGTGACTCGCAGATAAGGAACTTCATGCTTATTGTTATTTCACTATAGTATTAGAATTGAGGCTTGCGATAATTTATCAGCAGATAAACTCAATTAAATTTTTTTATTTGTTTACTCAATATCCATATCTGCTTTATTTGACCAAGAACTATTTTTACTCGTATATGAATCGCGCAATCTACAACAAAAAAGACTAGGAACTACTCGACTGATTTTTAATTTCACTAATTAGGCAAAAATTAACAGTAATAAATTTAATATACAGAATGTATTATTTAGAAATGTTAATTTCTTACCCTTCATCATCAATGATTTGGAAAGTGCTTTTTGAATCCTTAGCCATAGCAACGCAGCTGCGAGCAAAGATACCATAAGGCGCTGTAAGAAAATATTTTTTTATTATTATGAGCCAATGAGATAATATCATTTTTTCTGCTCTATTTGGTTTTATAGAATTCATAATTATTGTGTTAAAAAAATCTAATTATGCGATCTAAAAAATTGAATAATTCAAGCCATTATTACAAAAATTTATTGCACGAGATTGTTTCGAATTTATTTATCAAAACCATGATGTTAAATGTACTTCTAATGATATTTGAAATTAAATAGATGAAGGCTTCAATTTAAAAGTTGTTACTAAATTAGTTGACGGTTTGATAAAAATTTGCGATTAAAAATAAAACAAACAATCTTACTGTCTTCTGGAATTTCAATCCTGAAAGTGAGTTTGTCTCCAATTCTGACAGTCTCCACTTCTCGGGCTCGTGAATCCAAAATGCGGATCCTTGGTGGTGGGGCTTCGGGTGCAGATGTGATGCTGATCATTTCTGGGTCGCTAAATTAAAAAAAAGACATATGATATACTAAATATGGTTATAAAATAGTTTTTTTAGTATGACACACTGGGTAGACGGGATATACAATACAGGAATACAAGAAATTTTAATACATGAATGATAAAAAACTAAAAGTATAGTAATTTGGAGTAACCTACTGGGGTAGGTTACTCCAAATTATTATACTTTTAGTATTTTCTCAAATTTCCATTTTGTCTTTAGAACTCTGGAGTTTTAACAAACATTACAAAGGCTTAGAGTGATTAATTTTTCAGGTTGCAATTTAAATATTGTTAAAAAAAGTTTAATTATTTTTGTAAAAGAACAAGTTTTAATTATTTTTGTAAAAAAACAATTTGTAAAGAAACAATTTCAACAATTTTTGTTATTGAATACAGTCTAGATCTTGAATATGTTATTGTTGTTAAAGTCAAATTAAATTCTTTAATTTCTATCAAGTATGTATCTAACAATACTATATGATAAAAAACAAAAGAAATTAATCGTATTATTATCTATTGATCATCTATAAAAAGCCATGATAATTACCGAATTGGGCTCATTCCGAATGTGATGTTCTTGGAGCTCATATCGTATGTACATTTGACTTTGTAGATTTTGTCAGCTTTCGTCATGACCACACTGTGATGTTGTAGAACCACTGTATTCGAGTAGATGCCAGTCTGAAAAAGTAAAATAAAACATAAAACATCGTCCATAAATAATAGAAGTTCACTGGCATATCGTTTCTGCTTCGCTATTTATTATACGCGTTACGACATTACTATAATTTCAAAGATGGGGATGGGCGATGTAAATAGATGTTATAGACTTACAACTCTCTTATCGTATCCTATTAAAATTTACGTTGTATCCTACATTCAATAATATGATATACTTGTAGGCCAATTTGGAAAAAAAGGAATACAACGTCAACTTTGATAGAACAAAAAAAAGTTCGAATAGGGCTGAGATCGAAATTTTAAGTAAAATATTAAAGAATAAAAATTACATGAAACAATCACAAAATACTTAAAAGTAAATGTTGTGTCATTCCAGATGAAAAGACGTTAGTGAGTACATAACTACCTGGCTTTTCCGAATTTTATATATTACGAATTAAATAATATATATATTATTAGTTATATTATATATTATAGTTTAAATTTTTTGATATATTACTAATTATAAGTTTACATACACTACTCTTGTATTAATCTTTTAAACCCACTTTAGAAATAATTCTAGTGAGAATATAGTAAATACTTCGACTTTTACAGTTAATGCACAAATTTTCCAATGTTTGAAAAAATGTAAAAGTTTTGAGGCGATTCGAGGAGTGCCCTTAATAAAAGGAGTCATTTGTATTCTGTTGCTGTTGTGTTCAATTGACATTTATGGAAGTGTTTGGGTGAACTAATATTTATGGATGGTGTCTACTTAAGAATAGATAAAATACGATGTACATATAAGATATATAGGCATACTAAACACTAGTTAGATTTTTCGTAAGATCGACTGTGGTCTTTAAAATTAATAGAGAAGTGCAAAATTTTACGTCCGCAAAATTTTGATCCAATTTTGAAAATTCAAATACTATTTGAAAGATATTATTTGGGAATCGTGCTTATTAGTTTTGAATAAAGGCAGTCGATCAGGCAGTTTCTTTGTAATTGATTGTTGAAAAAAAAGATCTCGATGATTTTACTGATACATGATATGGCGATAGACCGAGATAGAATTTCGTTAGAAACTTGTAACAATTTATTTATTTAATTTGTTGCTTTTTTGGCCTAACTTTTCCATCACGACATTTTGCCGACTTGACAACCAGCAGATACTAGCCAGCAGACCAAAAATGCAAAGAAACAAGCCTCGTGTGATTTGCACTTCGAACGTGCGCTATTTTGTGGATGGATTTGTTCTTTTGAACCAATAGGGAAGCAGTATAATGTCGTATCGTTTATTATATTTGAAAATCTAGCAAGCTAACAAATCTCACTCAAAGAAAGTACGCTTTTTCGCATCGTATGAAGCAAACGGCTTGAAAAGCTATCATAGTCAGAAAACAAGTGTCGTGTGAACAGGGCTTTATAACAAATTGGAGTCTAATAAGAATCAGTTAGTCAATCAATAAAAAAGCCCTAACAGCTAATCGAAACCTAAATTCAAACAATCAATAATTGAATAATCATCACCTAATCAGCAATATCAGTAAATTATCATTCCCGGAACAGCACTGAAAACCTAATTGCGGAGCCAGTTTTCTCAAAACACGTAACGCAAAACTCATAACACATAACCGCATCGTGCACAGTTACTTCAATTAGCACACTCTCTTTGCAAGATGCTGATTGATATTTATGGTGCACAGCTCGGTTCAGCGACATCCAATACGTTATAGGAAAGAACCAGATGTAATAAAATTATTATATATAAATATATATATATATATATATATATATATATACAGGGCCGGTTTTAGGGTCCTAAGCGCCCGCACGCCATTATTTTTCTAGCGCCCCTGCCTATTATGTTAACTGTTTTAACAGTTCATCATTAAAATTTACATTCATTTTTCAAAATACTTTTAAATAATTCTGTGTTTAGTACACAAAAAATTAGATATATATAAACTAAAAGCACAAAAATACATTGATTTTAAAATTATTCAGAAGATCGAGGCAATTTGCGGATGCTCATAATTGAATTTTTGTGTCTTCTATCGATGTCGCACGACCGAACTATTTCTAATTTTTTATTTTCAATACAAACTTTTCAACACATCCAAAAATTTTTTGTTAATATTTGAGTTTTGAAACATTTTATTTATTTTGAGGATTTAATGCAATTTATTCTATTGAGCAAATCAGAGATTAAAAAAAATCTAGCCTTTCATTATTAAACATAGTACCGGTACTTCATGTTGGATTATTTTTTTAATTAAATTTTTCACTATTTAAAATATCCAAAATTGCATCGTAAACTTCTCCTGATTGAAATCGTGAGGAACGAATTGTATGTATCTTTACTTTCCCATTTGCTGTTTTAAAGTGAAATTTTTATCGTATTTTAAAAATATTGCCCATAGATTAGTAAAAGATGAAGGAAAGTATATATTTCTTGAATGATATTGAAAAAACTAGATTATTAATTTCATATCCAAATCTTGTGTTGGCGCCCCCTAAGGCGTGTGCCCGAATTTTTGGCATGCATTGCATTCAAGGTAGAACCGGCCCTATATATATATATATATATATATATATATATATATATATATATTCTGTTTACTCCTTTTTCAGAACCCTATGCATTATACATATATTCGAGACTGAGGAAGGTGTTACATGACGCAAATAGCTAAGAAACTCAGATTTGTACCTCGAAGGTTTCAGGCTCAAATTCCGCATTATGTACACCCAAATTTCAAGCAGTAGTGATTTCAGTTTTCATTTGAATATATGCAAAATTATTACGAAGATTTTTAGAAATTTTAAAATCGGGACAAGCTACAACCTCCAACAAAACGCATAGATTGCATAATAAACCCATATAACGCTTACTGCTAATGCGAGTGAGTATGACTTCTCAGATTTAATGAAACGAAATAAAGAAAACACTAAATTTGCAGAAGTAGCCTTGGGTCTGACACCACTGTTAGGTTCAAACACATATAAAAGCCGTATGCGAAATAAACATTTTATATTTACCACTGGGCGTTAGTACACCTGCAATCCGTAACGACAGTTATTTTAATAGCTCTTCGTTGTCAATAAATTGCTATTTATGGTAAAACGATAAATCAATAGGTGGAATAAACACAGCAAGGTTGAAAATGCCGATGAATCAGTATGTTGATTCTACTTAGAGGATGATAGTCATTTAATGTTTCAAGCATCATAGTAGATATCTTGCTAATTGATTTTTTATTTGGAAATTATTTGATAAAATGCGTTTATATTACAATTGGATAGGTGTCCTAATCAAATCAGATCATTTTTAGCATGTAAAAACCAGCAGGTGGTATTTGGTAATCTTTCTCTGTTATCACTATTCGGTCAATTATGTTTGATCAATTAAATAATAAAAGTAAAATCACAAATGTATATCGATAGAAGTTGTAAATAGAAAAGATGATTGAAACTTATTTTTATACATATTTTCAAAAATTATAATTACTTAGGTATCTTAGCAAACATTTTCGTTTCTAATTAAAGTTTTAAGTTCTTGGACCTCCACCTAGACCATTCGCTACGGTGTCAGGCTTTCACAATATTTCGTTGCAGAGATTATTCTGATAAATTAAAACTAAAGAAGAATTTTTACGCAATTCTTTTTTTTTCTCAGTTGCTCTCTTTGAAACTGATCTTCACCTAAAAACGAAGGTTGTGTATGCACCTTGGAAAAACAAATTCAAAATGAAAATTTCATCTTAAAAAAATGAATGTGAGATTATTACCATCAAGAAATAGTCATCTAATGCTTAACGCCGACGAATTTAAAATAATAGATTAGTAACAATATCTATATCGTATGCTTGATTTGTAATATCATTCAATCTGACATTGATTATTATTGCTCCAAATACAAATTTACAAAATCTTTACAAAATCCAGTGAAAAAAATTCAAATATTCATGATTTACCGCGCTTAATCGTATTCAATATCGATTTATCACGTTTAATCGTATTCAATATAATTTTATTTGAACGGTAAGCCCTCTTTTGTATTTTGGAAAAACATTTATTCTGAAGGTATAATAATTCATCGAATGTATGTCAAATTGTGCAAGGAATTATGCAAGTAATGGCGGTCTTGCAGAAATTCAATATCGTGTTTTCATTTTTAATATTGTGTTTTAATTTTTAATATAGTACTGTGTGTGTGGAAAGTGTAGTTTTGTTCGATGAACGAATTGATATCGCTGCTACAACCAATGACTATTATCATGGTGAGTTCCTAAATTTTGTTAATATTTATTAATGTTACAATTATATTGTTATGAGTACTTATACGTTATTATTGTTATTAGTATGCAGGTGTGTTCTGAATTGATACTTCTATTAAGTATTTTTGATAAACCAACTAAAGTGAGAATACGCATACGCCTACGCTTCGTGAATATTAATTAATTATAATGGTACCCTTATGAACATTTTCAGAGCAAGTAAAATTTCAGGAATGAGCATAAAATATTTCTATTAGTTGTTAAAATCTGGTACTTTTAAAAATATTTGTCAAATTGTTCATAACACGTTTGATGCCGACATGGCGACTCTAAACTGTTTCGAAAATTGAAAGTTATTAGAATTGGAATAATGGATAAAATCCAATTTTTGTCTCCATTCCTAATGTGCCCTCTTCAAAATGCCGAATATTGTACTTTTACACGTGCAGTTTGTCTTAATAATGATGTAGATCATTATTATCAAATAAATAAATCAGTAATTCCCATTTTATTATTAATCATTTACACATAAAATATTATTCGGTAAAAATTTGTAGTTTTCGTTAGTTGTAGTTTGGACTCACAGTCCGACGCCTGTGATCTATGTCTGATATTTTGAACAAAAATTTAGGTTATCAATTAAACATGTTTGGACTAAATTAATTAAATTTAAATTAAATTTAATTTAAATTAAATTTATTAATTGAATTAAAATTAAAACTATCTTGGAAAAATGCAATAACTATGCATAATTCGGCCTTGCTTTAAGAATGGCTTTATTTTATTCATTACAACCTTGATAATGATATGAGGGTTAATAATGTTCAATCGATTAATTTATCTAATATTCAGTGAACAATTTAAAATAAAATAAATTTGGTAATTTACTCATTGGTAGTGACTAGTGTGAGTAGTTTTACTTACCACTGATTGAGTGTTACAATCTTGTCCGGCCATGGTCAGGTCCAATCGGAAGAGATCGCTGTTTATGACATCAATGTTGCATGTTTCTGATCTGCCAAGAGCATAAATTCTGCCGTTGAATGGTTTATTGGTACGTACTTGGACTGCTATGCGAGTATCTTTGCAGTTTACAGACACTGTTGATAGAGATTGAGAAAAAAAAATTAAATACTTAGTATATCAATTGATATCTATATGGTTACATATTTGTACGTATAAAAATAGTTCGGGACAATAAGGGTTAATGATTTTTATATCTTTCTCATATAACCCAGTTTTATTCTGCATAACTAATATTATTAGTATAATATTTATATCTTCCAATTTTATTTTCTTGCTTTCAATTATGCTTATGATTATAATGATGATATTAGTTATTACTTGATTTATGGATTCATATAAATGGAATATTTTTATAGGAATTGATGTAATTATTGATCCTAACAATCAAAGTGAGTCAGGGTTTAAACAATATAATTTTTATTTTCAAAGGCAACAGTGATACATATCCTAACAAATTATATATTCTACTTCTAGTGCAAACATTCCGTTAATAATAATAAAATGCAATTTCTATTGAACAATATTGCCAAGCACTGTATCCAAATGTAATAATCTATCATATAAGAACAACTATAAACATATAATAACAATGATCTACAAACATAACAGGATATTGAACAACGCTGATATAAATAACTTCATAGAATCAGAAATGGAACTGGATTTTACTTAGGTTCTAAACTATTGTTATATATTTATGATTTTGTTTTATGGAAAATTTGAAAACGTTTTAAAGAGATAATATTTTATACTAAAAATGATCTTTATATTCTTATAACGGTTTTGTCATCTTATTGTAAAAACGGTCACAAATTTCACGAGAAACTTAGTTTAATATGACTTAAAATATATATTTTAATGAGCAATCCGTATAGGAGATAATTTACTTTTATCGTTTTCTTTTATTTCAATTTTCACTTTGAATCAATTGCAGTTCCAAAATGTGCATTTTTCATTATTTTTTTAATCTATGGAAAGCTTTCTATAAATTGTTGACATGTGCAGGAATTGATGAAAACGTTGACCAAGGTGCTAAATTATGCAAAAAACATTGGAATTTAAAAATAAGGGGCATATACATTCCTAGACTTGCAATCATTATTTACAAAATATGAGTGAAATAGAACTAAAACGATTATTAGTTATTTATATTTTTTTTTTGGTAAATCATGAAGAATGCACAATTTGATAAAGTGTTGCTTAAATTAAATGTTTGTCCAATCTAAATAAATTTGAAAAAAAAAACAATAAATACAATAATAAATTTTAATTTTATATTGAAAATATTAAGTGTGTTTTAACGAATGTTAAAGCAAACAGCACTGAATATTCTAAAATAATTTATAATAAAAAATTATTTTGGGGAAGTTATGTGGGCGACATAAAAGAGAAGGCTAGGATAGATTCAGAATTGAAAAGATCATGGTTCTAGATTTGTCAAATAAAGTTTATGTATTATGTATAATTAATACCTTTAGAATGTATATATAATTAGTAAATATAGTATTTACTAAATATACAACGTTTTTGATATCAAAATAAATATTTTGTAATTATTCCAATATATCAGTTTTCCAATATTGATCCAGTTCGAAAAAAATTAAGTAAATTGTAGATTTATAATTATTTAAAATAAAATGTGTATACTGCGGTATTGATTAGTATATTTAAGTACACATTTTTATAAAAATGTTTTAGATGCTCTGCCAATCGAATTTATATTCAAAGCAGTACAACGGCTTCTGTACTTGTCCTTTCAGAAGAACATACTGTTGAAAATTCATCTTTCTCGCCGCCAGTTATTAATCTCTTTCTTTTATCAATATAATAACCGTTTCCAATCAACTAAAAGGATTGACGTCTCGTAGTAGTAATATATAGCAAATTACTAAAATGCAAATTTTAATTGGATGATATTTTTCAAACAATGGAACTATGCAGGGATATGAATATTAATATGGATCGAGCATTATTTTAATATGAATATTAATTTTGCGCACATTGATCGTGAAGAAGCAGCTGGTAGGAAAAGGGAATATTATCGATCAAATAAGAAATAGAAACACTCTTTCAATGTGATTTTTTTCTCACTACAATACTAATCGTAAAATTAAATCTATATAAATTATATCCATTGTCCAAAAGTGCGTTCATATTTTGCATCTCAACTACTGAGTTGTTTTTTCCAACATGCCAATGTAGTATACAATGTCCCTTTTCGGCCGACTATTGTAAATTCATCAAGTTTATTGATTGTCCTTTACTAGATAGTTGTAAATAAAAGAGATAATAAAAAAAATATTTTGCATCTATTAAGTCTTCGAAACTTTTCTGAAATATATTTAAGATATTGCATAGATTGTATATCAGATCTATTTCAGTCAGTAATTGATTGAGAATACTTCTACCATTTTGCATTTCATTTATTTCAGAGAATTCGCAAAAACTTCTTTCAAATCGAGTAACTTGTCCATTAACTCTTCGTTGAATAATATCGATTGCTGAACAGTTATGATAATAACTTAATACAAGAATTCTCAACAACAGTACAATTAATTTATTTATGATTGATGTGCAGAAAATACCGCAAAGGAGAAATTAAGTATATAAATAGTATGTTTATATAAACTTACCGTCGTAACAAGTTCCAGTCTTATCGCAATTTACATCGGCTCTCGTCAAATTGTTGATTGAAGGATCTTCGGTTGCATCGAAGACAACGGGCAAAGTGTGGTCGGGGGTTGGGGCACTTGGATTCGGTTCTGAAAAAAAAAATCAAATTATTAGATAAAATGATTTTTGATTAATTGTATATATACTATCACTATTACTACTACTTTTGTTTGGCAACTTTTTGGCATGCGAGTGGAAAGGGTTAAACTTTTGAATCTATAACTTGACCGCAACCTTTCTGCTTAATTTGCTATTTATTTTGGCATCATAAACAAAAATGTTGAAATAGTGTAATTTATTATATTAGCTTTATTTGCTCTTTATGGTTCTATAAGCTGTTATGATTATTTAACTTAGAGGTTTTATAAATGGCAACAGTTGTCCTAATTCTATATGATTAATTTTATTTTCACAATTTCTGTACCGTTTCTATTTTCTACAAGAACTATTTTTACTTGGAAACATATTCCTATCTATAATTTCAAATGAAAACCGATGTTGCTGCTGCTTGACATCAGGATTGAAATCACATAGCTCTAATCACTAACCAACTGAGAGGCCCGATATGTATATTTAACAAAAATATTTGTGTCATGGTAAAAATATCATAACCTGAGTAAAAATCTACAATGATTTCCTTTATATTTTCACACACATCTGCATAAGTTATTTCGACTTTTGTTGCTGAATATCAAACACGAACAATATTTCAACTTATCAGAAAAAACAAATGTACTTTTTGCATCACGGTGTTCGAAGCTTTTACATGAGAAGCACATGTGTATAATCTACTTTACTGGATACTCAATTACATCATATGACATTTTCATAAAAATGCGCCGACTTATTAAATCCACAATATTATTAAAACTAGAATTGAAGTATGAGTATCATTTACAATTCAGTATCGAAAAGAGAAAAGTAAGAATTTAATCAAAGTTTATTAGAATTAAATTAATATTTTTTTGTGCTGCGACCCAATTTTCGAGTAAACCTTGCAATTTCTTTCATTCACTGCGACCAAACGTAAAATAATTTATATACCCAATTGGATACGCCTTAATAAATAAATGTTAATTATATTTCAAATTAATATTTCGAATCGACAATGAACTTTTATTATGAAACTGTTGTTTAAGATTTTCTAATTAAAAATACCGAACATTATTACTTACTCTCGCAAAAGTTCTCGAAGTATGTTCCAGTAGGTTCGCCATTGTCGAGTAAAGGTCTTTCGGCGTTAAGGTATGTTGAGGGGCCATCTGGCAAGGTCTTGTGATCCAAATGGTACAAACGGCAGTTATATTGCGAACCCAGAGGTGTGCCAAGGTATAAGAAAGAACGACACAGGAATTCTGATTCGATTTCGCAAGCCAGACGACACGCGGGCTCACTTGTTACCTAGAATAAGATAATGGAAATACTTAGTCTATTAGACCACATTCACAATTGTAACTATAATCTGGAGTATATGCAGTAAATCTGCAGATCTAGTACAACTACTTTTCAGCACTTACTTGCAATTCCTTATCAGTATAATAGTGGAGTCCTGCATATTGGGCCACTTTATCATCCGCAACACCAATCCTTGGAATGGAGAAGACACGATTGGCTTTACATGCCTGACTAGTTTTTAGGCACAGATTCTCGAAGTAATCAGTTCCTGATCATGAAAAGCATAGTTTAGTTGAGCAATCTAATATGTACTATATTTGGACTATTGTGATTATTATAATTTAAAATTAACTTACCTTGGGCATCCACCAACTGAACAAATTGTCCTGTGGTACGACGGTCAGAGTCACTCAAAACACATTTCATGTTGTTATAATCATATTCCACTGATCGACAAGCAAAGCGTTTCTGAAATAATATTCATTTTTAATTAGAAACCTAGATCTACTTTAGATGATAGTTACTATATCCTTCTTAATACTTGTCAAATTGATCTAATCAATGATCAGTATCGTATTATAATAATTATTAAATGCTGCATTACATTTTATTATATCTGATTATTAAATGTTAAATATTGCATTACAAAAACGTGGAGCAAACTTAATTACTATTGATAGGTTGATTAAATCAGCAATATTATAACCGATTTTAATATAATATTGATACATTTTTATATTTCAGGACTAATAATTTAATTTTCAATTATTACTAATACATTTTATATTATTGTAATTTTAAGAAATTTCCATAAATATTTATTTATTGCTTAACCAAAATTTTTACCATGGAAAATCAATGAATGAAAAAGTGCATTTTATACCAAAAATAATTTAATTAAGCGATTGCGATACAATGAAATTATCGTTACACAACATCAATTGCCGGAAACACTTTCACCCATATCGTCAGTGCATTGCTTTCAAAAATTTAAGATCACAATTTAAACCAAATAAAAACAATAAAGACTTCAAATGTTTCGCAAGGATTTCAGCTCCCGGCGGAAAAATACCACCTTATTGTGAAACTGTAAGGAACGTGTGAAGAGCACTCGAAGCTGTTAACTGTAAGATCAAATTTTCGTTTTGTTTTCATATTTACGACTTTATTAAGAAACGTAATGTGCTTTAGGGATTTTCAACAATGTAGACATCCTTGCATCTATACAAAGTCCGGTGATTTTATATACCTTAGTGCCGTTATGATGCCGCAAGTCAACAGCGAAATTCAGTATATTCAGTCATCCGCGCTTTTGTTCGCGAAAAGATCGTTTTGTGTGAAATTGCTTGATAATTCACCTCTGGTGTAATATTTTCTCGAATGGGCGGCCATCGGATAATAAGATATTCGCATTGGCGCCTTAGGTGGTTCGAGAGTAGTTACGTTTTATGAGATTACGTGTTATAACAAATTTCGAAATAGCATTTTTGTGACCGAGAAAATTTGACAATTATATAAAAGAACTCGGTACACAGTAATTGAATTATTTATTTATAAAAATAATAATAAATTGCATCTTTATCTTAATAACATAAAATCTTTGCTCTCGAATTAAATTTGGAGATGGGTATCGTACCACTCGGAACTAATTTCTGTCGATAGAGCAGCAGGAATACATAAAAAGAAGATTTAGCAATTGAACTCCGTTTCGCCACCAGATGGTTTCGTGAGAAAGATGAAGAAATTTTTTGTTTTATATTTGAAAAGGAAAAATTTGATTTTATTATACAACAGTAATGAATTTATTTCGATTATAAAAATGAAGTGTTGTTTAGTTGAACTTCTCTTGGTAAATGAAAGTGAATCCGCAAATTATCCGCTTCATTAAAGTGCTCTTTGGTAAACCACATTTTTTGTTTTTTGGTCTGACGTTAACACAAATAAAGCGGATGGTTTTCCAACTCGTAAATAGGCAACGTATAACTGCCCATGTGAGAATCAATGATTTTATAAATAATCTATTTAAAATTTATCCCGCAAATACTAAGTTATTGGCTTTGCAACTTGTTAAATGTTATTGCGAACGCAAGGCGAACTGGAAATTGCAATCGTTTGAAGTCGAACGGAAGACCAATCAGAATAATTGGTATGTCACCAAATCGCCAGCAATTTTTGATTGAATGGTGAAATTCAGTGCGTGTACATCATATTTCTTTCTAGGCTAACTCAAATTCTAGCACTCCAACTCATTTTCTGGACTTATATATTTATATACACAGATTTTCTACAGGACAAATAAAATGTTTATTTTTTAATTAACTATTTTTCGTTTGGTTTATTAATATTGAGTTCCTCGGCCATCGATATGTATTTAGGTGTGACACATATATATGTCTACGCCAAATCTTCGGTTCTAACAACTGCCATCGTCAAACGCATATATGAGTTTTTGGGCTAGTTTAATGATTTGCTTGAAACGCATATATGCGGCGTTTTTCAAAAGGTTAATGTAGAGCATAATGTCAATTGAGAAGACATAATCAGAAGTCATTCGTTCGCAGTTAGCCAAGAGCAGTAGGAGCTAGAGAACATCATGGCTAGAGCAATCATCAACTACTTCAACGCGGAAATCGAATCTATTACTCAATTAAAAATTGATGGAAAATAGGCAATCGTAGAACTTTTTGGAATCAACTTGAAAGGTATTCTAAATTAAACAATTTTCTTGGGACAAATGATAACACTATCTATTATTAAGCAAACAAGAGATTGTTGGTTATTCGGACTGCCTTACCAATCATACTGATTTACTGACCATCATATTGATCTGTAGCTTGAGAGCAAAAACAAAAATCCTTAGGAAAAAGTGCATGTACCGTTTCTAGATTTATGGATGGTTTACCTCGTTCAAGCAGGCAGCCAGACAAGCCTCCTTCGTGGATGTATAGATGAGCGCGTTGTCCAAGCCGCGTATGATCTTGTTGGGCACGCGTTCGAACGCCCAGGGCCTGAGACATACGTTCTCTGATCGCATCTGCAGCTTTACCATGTAGTACATGTTGACGCTGCGTTGAGGCGCCACGTTCGGGTTGTTCGCGCTCGTGTCGTTTTGCAGCTGACATAGTGTTTCTTGCACAGGTGTCAATGGATTTACGACAAAGCTAAAATTAGAAAATACATAAATAAAATTAATGATCTACGCTAATTTTATCAATTTAAATTATGAAACAAATGTGACTAATGCAAGTCGCAATATAAAATGCATAGTCCAGTCATTTAAGCTTAAATTAGGTAAGAATCTCGGAATTCGAGATGCCGGCTCTAAGTCTGTAAATACTTGTACAACCTACACATATGGTAGGGTGTCAATACCATATGTAGGTTTTGAGACAACTTTAGGGTGGAACTTATAATGACTGGACCAGCACCACAATCACAAATTAATCATACATCTGCTGAAAACTAGTTTGATGTTGAAAGCATTTTGCCTTAAGGACAGTGCTTGAACTTCTTGAATTTTTTTTTTTTGAATATTTTTTTTAACAGCAATCAGAACCTTACGTCCTATGAGTTGTGGGGCTGAAACTTCTCCTTACTTCGTATTTTTTTAGATGGTAACCCAATGGTTAATCCATCCATATTTGATGATTTTGTTATTTCACTTAAATCTAAACTTTGCTATTCCTAATTGATATCACTCAAACACATGTAAATTATCTGTAATTACATTGATTTGAGTACATAGACGCGCTTGTATGTTCTAAAATTGTAGCTTATTATTCCAAATTCTAATGAACTTATATAATTCAATCAATTTTCGTTGGACTGTTTAGGCATAAACTTTATCGCCATGTTAAATTTTATGAAAAACGTCAAAAGCTTTTCTTTAAAGAAAGGTAATATATTATTATTGAAATATTAAGCATAAGAAAATACCGGTTCGATTACATATATCATTTACGGAGTTCTAGATATTATTTAACCCTTTCCACTCGGGAATTTCAAAATTAATATGTATTTTGTCGCTGGAGCGGCGGCATCTGAGTGGAAAGGGTTAATGATTCAAATTAATGGTAGCATTTTTTCCATAACTAGTAGACGTTTTGTAGACTGTAGACACTAACTTTGATAAATTATTGACCTATGTGTACATTTTATAAGCTGTTGTGAGGTAAAATTTTGAACCTAATATTATTAGAAGCAATAGATGTTGAGATATATATTGCAATAATTCTGTTTTTTGTTTTCATTGAATATCAATTATTTTAAGACAACTGGTATCGCTACTGATTTGATATCAGCTCTAGGAAAACTGTTTTTAGTTCATCAGTCAAATATAAAATTTGCTACAGTTTGTTTAGAAACGGTATCATGTTTTAACTTCATAGATTTCTCCATTTTTTGCATATAATATTTTTTTAACTTAAGCTGATATTCATAATTGTAATTTCTTACAATATTTCTAGTTCATCCAACATTGTCATTGAAGTGAATTGAGGTTAATACAAATTTTCATGGAAGAAAGAACGTGCCATTCAATACAAATATAATTTTATAAGTTATTATTACCAAGAAAGTTGCTATAAACTTAATTCTTATATCAGCTGAAGTAACTATGAGATTTAATGGTCAATATCTATAAGCCGGTATTATGCAGCCAATGTAAAAATAGAAGAATGCTCACGCATGTTTTGTTAGTAGCCATGGTAAAGATTTCATTTATGTTAAATGTATCACACCAAGAAGATTAACCTATTTTGAGAAATACTCAATTTATTTATTGTTTGCTTATCCATTGTGTGAAAAAGTGTTACAAATACAATATTAGATTTAACATGACCGAGAATGCTAGTTCCATGCGTTTTATTGATCTGGTATTTCTTTAGTTAAACATATTTTTGTAGTGGGTATCGAACCTGACACCTTGTGCTGGTAAGATCTACGGTAAAGACTCCATTACCAGAAAGGAGTATGTAGAAACTTTTTGAACAAAAACATGTTACTGT